CGCTTCCCAAGCGGCGCACTATCCAGTGCGCCACCGGGCCGGCCCCATAACTTAACATTATTTCAATTAATCCTCAACTACCTTATGAGGTGTATTTGTAATTATATTCACATTTTACAGATGAGGAAAGTGAAGCATAGAAATGTTAAGTGACATGGTCCTACTCATAAGTGGCAATGGCAAGATTTGAACCTGTACAGACTTCAGGATAGATTCTGGGCTTTTTATGACAATGCTATATGACTTATATTGGGACTCTCTATTATTTTCCTATATCACATCAGCATGACGTTAGCTTCTGAGTCTTTAACTACTGTACTCTATTTCTCTTCCCCCAAAGTAATATATTTTATGTGGTTGTTATATCAAGTTTGCTGTCATAAGTGGTAGTACAGAATTGAAATTCCATTCATAACAGCCAGTTTCTCACAAAGCATCCCTTCCATGCCACTATTCTTGGAAGAATACTGAACTATGTGTACCAATTTTTTGACCCATTAAATTATTTATGTTACCATTTTTCAGTGGATGATCCAGCAGCCACACAAAGCAGCAACATTTTTTGGATGCATTGGAATAGATAAATTTGGTGAAATCTTGAAGAGAAAAGCCGCTGAAGCCCATGTGGATGCTCATTACTATGAGCAGAATGAGCAACCAACAGGAACTTGTGCTGCATGCATCACTGGTGACAACAGGTCAGTGTAATTCCAAGGCATTGTACTAACTGGCTCTATAAACACTGGTAACATCTGATTTCCAATCTGAATTTGGAAGTTAGATTTCATGTTTATAATGTTCAGTAAACCTTTCTTCCTTATATCATTTTTCCGTTACTGTTTTTAAATTTACTTTTGTTGAACTAGCTATTGAACTCATAAGGGAGAATGGAATGAAGGTTGAGACTAGTCCAGTCTCTGCTTTTTATAATTAGAATCAGAAAAGGAAAATACTTTGCTCTATGTCTTATAGTTAGTTTGTTGCCCAACTTGGATTAGAAAGAATTCTCCTCACCATATCCTGAGATTGGAACTTAGAATAGGGCTGGCCAATTAGCTCATTTGGTTAGAGCACCGCCCTGTAACACTGAGGTCAAGGGTCAGATCCTTGTACCAAAAAACAAAAAAAGGAATGTTAAATATGTGGGTGTGTGTATTTAACATATATAAAATACTACGTTATATCCTGTCTCATATAAATTAGGTCATCTAAAGCATTTCTGGCAAATAATCATTCATCCATGTTGAACAACGTCCAGGGGCTGGCTGATTAGCTCAGTCGGTTACAGCACAGCCTTGTAACACCGAGGTCAAGGGTTTGGATCCCGTCACCAGCCAGCCAACGTATTAAACAACTTCAAACATGGGTAATACACCACTCAAGGAACAACCAAATATGTTTCTTTACAACGTTACTTATTAGAAAATTCTTCTTTAGATGAACTTGAAATATATCTCTCAGGACCTTCCATGCATTGGTTATAATTGTTCTTTTGTAGCTACATGGAGGCATTCCTTCAGTATATTCAGCATGGGCTTTTTTCCTCCTTTGCAAAGGAAAAACAAAATAACTTTCCTAACTTCTTTTGTTAGAATCATCAAAGATTATCTCTTTGAAAATAGTGATTCACTAGAAATTTTGCATTTCTTACAAATTGGAAATATTTACTCTGTCCTCCTCATTCCCTGTCTCTTTTCCCTTCTTTCCCTCCTTTCAGATTTCTCTTTTTATCCTCCCTTTTTTATTTCCTTCCTTCTCTCTCCTGCTCCCTTGCTCCATTCTCCTTTTTCACCTCCTTTATTTTTGCTACTGCTTGACCTCCAGCAGATGTATATTAAGGACCTGACACATTCTGGATACTGCAGATCAGTATGGACAGTAGTCATTAAGTGACTAAAATATAACTTTCAAAATAATTAGAGTACCAAAGCCATTTTCAGGCCTTTCCTTTAACTTTGTTTTTTTGTGTATAAGGGAAACATTATGATTTTAAGATTTCAATAAATAAAACCATCCATTAATCAAAATTTGAAATAAACTTGTTCAGACATTTACCGTTTTTAGTTTTCCTATAACCAACCTTAATCTGCAGGTGCAAAGTTTTCCAATAGCGATAAATGAGTCAAGTTTTGCCTCTAACACCACTCAGGCTAGAGTAAAATTGCTAAATTGTTTTGTTATGCTAAATGCTATTTTAAAGAACAGTTATGATAATATTAGGTCTCCCAGATGTCAGAAACTTAATTTATATATTAATATTATGGCTATGATGATGAGTATTGTTTAGATGATATGGGAAGTCAGAAACTGGGGAGAAACACTCACTATCTAACTCATTTTCCAAATTCTGAAACCTTAATAGAGTTGAACAAATTGTTTTACATAGGGTTGGTAACTCTCGCTACCAGTACCCAAAACTCAGAAACCAAAGAGTTTGAATAATGCAGTATTCTTCTTTCTTTTTTGATGGCTGGCTGGTAAGGGGAACTGAACCCATGACCTTGGTGTTATAAAGTTGCACTCTAACCAGCTGAGCTAACTAGCCAGCTAAGTAATCTTGATTCAGGTTCTCACTCTTCAAACTCAGAATCAAATACACTCAGATAGTAAGAATACTTGTATTTTTCTTTTGAAGAAACTGAGTAATTTCCTATCAAAAATTAGTTTTTTTTATCAAAATAGTGTTTAGTAGCTGGTATCAGAAGTGTTTGCTTTTGGGCCGGCCTGGTGGCGCACTGCTACAGTGCGCCACTTGGGAGCGCGGCGGTGCTCCCGCCGAGGGTTCGGATCCCACATACAGACCGGTTCCCGCTCTCTGGCTGAGCGAAGTGCGGGCGCGACACCGAGGGTTGCGATCCCATTGCTGGACAAAAAAAAAAAAAGTGTTTGCTTTTAATTAGTAGCCATCTTTGTCTTAATTTCCCTGGAGTCATGATTACTAAAATATTTTTATAAATTAGGACTAACTTTTTCCTAAGTTTATAAGATATTTTGTATAATATTGATGTATATTACTCTATTTTTTCATTTAATTAAACATGAAGCGATGTATCCTTCAATAGTAAATTGGCATATGAATAAGTGGAAATATGTTTTTGGAGAAATAAATTTATTTATTTATTTATTTATTTATTTATTTAAATTATTATTATATTTTTTTTTGGTGGCTGGCTAGTACAAGGATCTGAGCCCATGACCTTGGTTTTATCACACTGCACTCTAACCAACTGAGCTAACAAGCCAGCCCTTCAACTTATTGTTATTATTAAAACAGAGGAACCAAACATATTATCAAAGTCTCAAATGATGAGGTGATTTTTCTTTTTGGTAAGCCATAACCATTACCATTTAATTAGAAAAAGAAAAATTGGCAAATAATTTTGTAAATTCTGTGTCAAAATGGAGAATTAAACTATTTTTATTAATTTACATGTAATGTAAATAATTATTTTATTTCTTAAGTTTAATTGTTGGGCTATAATTAAACAATTTAGGTGGCACTTTTGTAGCAAGATTTTAAATGCGGTATTCTGCTTAGGTTTTCCAGCTGTAAAACTGGACCATCTCAGGGAGTTTTCAACTATAGGAAGTAATTCTAATTGATTCAACTCCTTAAAATGTAATGGTTTGCAAATTAATTTCTCATAGTAAATATGGTCCACATTTGCATGTGTGTTTTATGAAATTAATCCCATATTTGACTTTTAAAACATTAGAGTAAGTGCTGGCCCATAGGCTCAGTTGGTTAGAGCACAGCCATGTAACACCAAGGTCATGGGTTCAAATCCCCCTACTGGCCAGCTGCCAAAAATAAGTAAGTAAAGCATTCGATTAAATATCAATTATTTTATGTTATTACTTATTTTTAGGGAGATATTTTTCCCCTGTAAAAACTGAAGTTTTTAGTTGCATAGATTTCTTTTTTGCATAATGACTTGGTAGGTTTATTTCTTAACTGCATTTTGAACTATTAAAATGTAAAAAATAGATATTATTTTAGTATCAAAAGAAAACTTAAATACCAGTTTCTCAAAATACCAGGGGGTGTTTAGAACAAGGATTAACATCTCTGTTTATATCAAAGGCAACAAAGAAGTCTCGGAAAGTTCTCAAAACAAAATTAATGTTATTTACATTTATTTAAAAAATGAATGTCAGTTTTGAAGCACTAAGAATTAAAATGTTATAAATTTAAAAATTTGCAAAAAATATTGGTAATTAACTGTATACAAGTGCATGACAAGTTTGGCTATGTATAAGTAAAACCTACTTGCTTTTTTTTTTTTTTTTGGTTGTTTTAGGTCCCTTGTAGCTAATCTTGCTGCTGCCAATTGTTATAAAAAGGAAAAACATCTTGATCTGGAGAAAAACTGGATATTGGTAGAAAAAGCAAGAGTTTGTTATATAGCAGTAAGTATTTACCTAATTCAAATTTTTGGTACATATTAACATGATAGACTATAGTTGTTGGATGATATACATTTTAAAATATTTGTCTTTTGCTTATCCTGCAAATTATTTACACATCTCAAAGCATGTATTAGATTCAGTATTATAAATACAGAACAGAAATATGATCTTTCTATGGGTAACATAATTTGTATTATTTACCTTCAAGTCTACCTCTTTTTGGAGACGTTATACATAGATGCTTCTCAATCAAGCACAGAATTCTGTATTAAATTAGTTTCTTAAGATCTTTTGAAGTAATTTTACAAACTCACATTTTATATTTTTAGACAGCCTGCTGTGAATGACTCATGCATTGTGTGGAAAAATATTAGCAGTGTAAATATTCACTGAAAAAATTAATTGCTATTTATTCCATAGTAATTACCATGACACCTTTTAATTTAATATATCAGAAACATTGATCGTGACAAATCTCTTACATATGGAAATAAAGTTAGCATGTAAATTGAATTATTAACTCTTCTGACAAAAATAATTTGTTAAGAATTCATTTCTAAAATAAGACTGTACTAATACTCCTCCTGAATTAATCACCTCATGATTACCTTGTTTTTATTTAATATGAGTTCAGCGTGGCTGCTCACAAGTAAGTATATACCTATGAAAAATTAAAAGCACCTCATATGCATATAATATATGGTTTTGGTATAACAGCTGCTGCCATTCCACTACCTGAGCTGTGTGAAACAGCTGGTAAAACCTGTAAAAAATTGATTATCTAATAGGAACATGTTTATTGAAAATATAATTATTTCTTTCAGTCTCGTGTTTATGTCTCCTGCAGCATGTTTCTGTGCATTGCTGTAGGCTTTACAGCATTGTTATTGATTCCTCTGCATAGCAAATCCTGCCCCTTTATAACTGTCAAATAAGTGCTTACATTGTGAAGATTATGTAACAGAAAGTCATGCTATCTCCTATCTCTTCTCCCAGTATGTGAGAAAAACATTTGGAGAATTGAAGATTTTTATTCCTCTTTATTATTTCTATTTTATTTTATTTCTCGGAATGGTTTCATTTTTCATTAAAGTCTTGATAGTGTGTTCTGATAGTGTGATTTTTTTTTTTTTTTGTCCTTTTTGAGACCGGCCGCACCACGCTCAGCCAGTGAGCGCACCGGTCATCCCTATATAGGATCCGAACCCGCAGTGGGAGCGCTGCCGCGCTCCCAGTGCCGCACTCTCCCGAGTGCGCCACGGGCTCGGCCCTAGTGTGATTCTTTGAGGGGAATTTATGTACTATTTCAAACCGTCTTACATTCGACAGTCTGATTTTCAAAGAGCACATGGTTTAAAGTTTGGCACAATTTATGTATATTATTTACTTTGACTATGAAATATGACAATATATTGTGATGAAAAGTATTTTCAACGATAATTACAGTTCTGTGTATTTCGATATATAGTAGTTGAATCCTGAATTATCAGCCAACTTGCAAGCAACTCATAGTTTAATGATTATACAGTATAACACATCTAGCCAACTTCAGTGAATGGAATTTTTATGGAAATATAGGCTCAACTTGCAAAACAACTCATAGTTTTAGCAATTATGTACTAAAACACATCTAGCCAAATTTTGGGCGAATGGAATTTTTATAATAGTATTAACTATTTATACAAAAATACCATTTCATATAAGGGATAGAGAGATTAGTTTTGGTCCATTCAGTGAGGAAAATTGGATTATTTTTGAAGTTTGTGTGATATATTCATCTGGAAGAAATATCCAATGGATTCCACTTTATATCTCTGATAGTAACTGTTAGCACTTAGCTTTTATTTCAGCAGTTTCATAAAAAGAATGCTCTTTCACATGGCCAGGTAAATCTACGCTCTGCTCAGAGCTTACCTTATTTCAAAATAGTTCTGAAAATAGTAGATTCATATTGGATACCTAGGATACTATATATTCTTTGTGGACATTCAGCAAATATTTATGTAGTTGGCAACTAAGAGTATAATTCTTATTTATCAGAATCTCTTAACTGTCTTCTGAAATGTATTGTTATTTCTACAAAGACTTTCTACAGTTCTTTTAAAACCTTAATTCCCTTTGAGTTCAGAGCATTCCAAAATGAGATGTAGTCTAGTCTAGTCTTGTCTTAGCACATGCTCAAATCACTAATCAGGTGGGCTCCCCCATACTTTCAGGTTCTATAGGATGAGCAGTCTCCTTACATTATCATCATAAACTAATTAGTTTTAACAAGTTGAAATTCTGGGAGCTGTTTAATTCTAAAAGTTCTTGATCTAAGGAAACAATTCAGTTTATCTATTCAAAAATTTCTATAATTAAGATGTGTCTGCATGACATAAAATAAACTAGATCTACATATTCATCTCTACTTCTCACTATTCTATAAACTAGTAATGGTCATGAGCATTAAGAAAATTCATTTTAATTTATTTTATTTTTTGACGGCTTGCCAGTATAGGGATCTGAACCCTTGACCTTAGTGTTACAAGGCTGCACTCTAACCAACTGAGCAAACTGGCCAGCCCAAGAAAATTGAAAACTCTGATCATTTTTTCCACCATATAATGCAGTGAATGACTTCATATCAGAAGCTTTCCTGATAAGAAGATGAAACTGAATATGGACAAACCTGCATTCTCTGTTGATTTAAATAAAGTTTTGGGTTTTTTTAACCTTTCATAGCAAGTGTTGCACTTATACCATGTAAACTCAGTTTTTCTATGTTTAAAACAAATTCTCAAATTCCTTATTTACAAGTGATTGATTAGGGACTACTGGTTATGGTGACTAGTTAATTGTGTTTTTGAAAACATAAATCTCAGGGTGCTCTTTGCCTTAGAATCAAACTGGTATGTATCTGTTTCTTCTCACTCAAAAATTATATTTTCTAAATTAGATGTTTAGGAAAGGCTTATTAAAAAGATTAGTAAATTAGAGCTATTAATTTTTCTAAACTACATATTTCCTTTTTAAGCAGTATTAATCTGCTGTGAAAAATTAGAAAATTAGCACTCTGTTTCATTCTGCCTTTTGAATTTTGTTAATTGTATTTTTACTTTATTTTTACATTTTCAGTGTTTAAACATTTTCATTTTGTTCTATAACCATAATTCTTATAGTATTCTATATTTAAATGAAGTAAATGCTTACCACCAATTACTTTACATAGTTTTCCCATTTCCTCATTGTTTATTTTGTTTATTTCTCTATTGACTGTACTTTATCATCATACCTTTTTTTTTTTTTTAGCAGGAAGGACTGAGTGCCTCCCTTCTTGAGCTTTTATTTACCTCCTGTTGCTTTTACATAAATGGCAACTTGTTTGGTGTAATATTTTGCAAAACAAAATACTTTGTAGACATTGCTTCATGACTTCTAGCACTTTTTCTGGGAAATCTAAGCCCAGATTAATTTTTATTTCTATTCTTTATTATTTCCTTTTTTTCCCTACTTACTTTGGATTTCATTTGTTCTACTTCTTTTCTTCCTCCTTCCTCCTTCCCACCAGCCTACCACATTCCTTTGGTTTGTTTCTTAAAGTGAGAGAATAATTCATTAATTTGTGACTTTTTTTCTGCTATAGATGCTTACTGCTATAAATTTCTAAGTACTGATTTGGCTGCATCCCAACCAGTTTTGAGAAGTTGTGTATTTATTTTCATTCATTTGAAATACTTTGTAATTTCTCTCTTTATTTCTGCTCTAACTTATGATTTATTTAAATGTCTGTTGTTTAATTTCTAGATGTGGGGATTTTCCAGAGATCTTCCTCTGACTATAATTGTGGATTTGTGTATTTCTTCCTGAAATTCTATCAGTTTTTGCTTTATGTATTTTGAAACTTTGTTATTAGGTGTATAAGTGTAGGATTGATTATTTGACCTACTTACCATTATGGTATATTTATCCCTGATAATATACTTTGCTCTGAAATCTACTGTGTCTGGTATTAATATAGCCAATCCAGCTTTCTTTTGATTATTGATATCATGACTTATCTTTTTTCTCTCTTTCATTTCTAACATATTTGTGTCTTTATTTTTAAAGTGCTTTTCTTGTAGGCAAATAGTTAAGTATTATTTTCTGTCCAGTCTGACAATATCTACCTTTTAATTGGAACGTTTATACCATCCCTATTTAATGTGATTATCTATATGGTTAGGTTTGAACTCATCATCCTTGGTTTTTGTTTTTGATGGCTGTCCTGTCCAGGGATCTGAACCCTTGGTATTACAACACTGTGCTTTAATCAGCTGAGCTACTGGCCAGCCCCATTGGTATTTGTTTTCTATTTGTCCCATCTTTTCTTCACCCTCTTTTTTCTCTTTCCTGACCTCTTTAGGGTTAATCCAGTATTTTTATCTCCATTATTGGCTTGGTCTCTCTCTTTTTTTGTTATTTTAGTAGTTGCATTAGGGTTTAGAGAGCCTATCTTTCACTCATTGCAGTTTGCCTTCAAATACAATATTATCCTTACATTTAGCCCTTCCTAGCCTTTAAGCTATCATTGTCACTTTTTAATTTTTAAAGGTTTTTAATTGTGTTTATTTTTTTAAATGGCTTTCTTGGTGTATAATTTACATAATAAACAACACACATTTTGCTTGTATATATATGCTATAAAAACCATAATACATTGGGGGCCGGCCCGGTGGCGCACTGGATAGTGCGCCGCTTGGGAAGCGCGGCGGCGCTCCCGTCTGAGGGTTCGGATCCCACATACAGACCGGTTCCCGCTCACTGGCTGAGCGAGGCGCGGGAGCAACACCGAGGGTTGCGATCCCGTTGCCGGTCCCCGGTCCGGTACGGGGGCAACACTGAGGGTTGCGATCTGTTGCCGGACACGGAAAAAGACAAAAAAGACCAAAAAAAAAAAAAAAACAATAATACATTGTTATTATTTTTGTTTAAATTGTCAAACACCTTTTAAAGAGATTTAAATGATAAGAAAAAAGCAT